GATCCCCCCACCCACCCCAGGCCACATCCCAGGGGAGAAAACACATCCAGGAGGGGTTTGGGATTTTCTTTCCTGGATGGGGCCGGTTTTGGGGAGGGGGGGTCTCACTCTGGGGATGGGTGAGGTGTGGCCAAAGGGGATGGAAAGTGGGATTGGGGAAGGGGTTTTGGGAAGGTTGGGTTGGATGGGACTTGGAGCAGGCTGGGCTGGTGGGAGTGTCCCAGCTGGACAGGGCTTGGAGCATCCTGGGCTCGTGGGAGGTGGATGGGCCTTGAGGTCCCTTCCACCTCAAACCATTCCAGGATTCCCTGGATATTGGGAATAAATCCTTCCCTGGGAGGGTGCTGGGACCCTGGCACAGGTTATGCCACGGATGCCCCATCCCTGGAAGTGTCCAAGGCCAGGTTGGACGGGAAGTCTCCTGGCCCATGGAAGGTGTCCCTGCCCACGGCAGGAGGTGGAATGAGATTTTTAAGTCCCTTCCAACCCAAACCCTTCCATGATTCCATGGAAGCTCCCCCAGATTGCCCTTTCCTTGTACATCCCAGGGAGCTGCTGGGCGGGCTGGAGGTGGGAATTCCCCGTTGTAGCCCCTGGAAAACATGGATTTGGCTCCTGAGCCGTGACTTTGGAGCTGCAGTTTAAACAGACAATGAGCTGCTTCTTTTCCAGCGGATGTTCCCAACTCCTCCCCCTTCCCCTCTCTGGCCAGAAAGCCAGGAAAAACGAGGATATAGGAAAGGGAAAAAGGCTTGGGAGCTCCAACTCTCCTGCAGCTGGAGTTATCCCTGGAAGCTGGGGACAGGGCTGAGGTTCCCAAGGGCGGGACATTCCCAACTCCTCTCCCCGCTCCCTTCGTTTTCCAAGAACCATTAAACCCCAAAAGAATCCCGACAATTCCGAGGACTTTCCACTCCCTGCATCTCTCAGGCCCTTGGCTTGGAGTTGAACCGAGTGGAAACATTTTCCTCTTGGTTTTGGCTCTGGAAAAAAAGTGGATTTTTCCTGGATTCCGACCTCGGCAGCTCCTTTAAGGAGCAGGGGCAGGGAAGGGGAGGCAGAGCAGGGCCCTGCTCCTGCCTCTGGATCCAGGTGTTCCCAGATGTGTCAGAGCCAGCCTGGATGGGGGGGACAACAGGTTGGGACCCCTCTTCCATCCCAAGGTGGGTGGGAAGGGCTGGGATGGGCAGGACAGGGATTGTCTGGATGTTCACAAGGGGTGTTGTGAAGCACCCAAGGCTCGGTCACCGGGCTCATCCCGCGGGAATTCTGTGCCTGGTGCTCCCCGTGTCCCCTTGGAATGTGTCAGGAGGACCTGGGAGCACCGGGAGCCATCCCTTGGATCCATCCTGACTCCTCCCCGTGTCCCAGGTGGGGCTGCCATGAGAGCCGGCGTGCAGGAGGGCGACCGGATCGTCAAGGTGAGCGTTCCCAGCCCCTTCCCCACGGGAATTCCCGCTCCCCTTTCCCCTTCCCAGCCTCTCCCACCCCTTCTCTCCCTCATCCCAGGTGAATGGGACGATGGTGACCAACAGCTCCCACCTGGAAGTGGTGAAGTTAATCAAGTGTGAGTGTGGCTGCTCTTCCCACTTGGATTGTCGTGGGTGATGTGGAGGCACCGTGGGGATGTCCAGGAGCACGTTCCCATCCTTGGGGAATTTTGGGGGGGAGCCAGTTTTTGGCTGGTTTGCCCCAGATTTGATCCTAAACCCACAAATCAGTGTTTTCACAGGAAGGGGCACCTTGTCCCTCCCCGGCTCAGGAGGCCACGGGATGGATCCCACCCGAGGCCAGGCCTGGGTTCTTGGAGAAAAGATGGGAAAACCTGGCTTGATCCGGGTGGCAGATCCACTGGACAGGGATGTTCCCACCCGGATGCCCACGGGGTGGTTGAGGTTGAGTTGGGTTGAGTTTAGGTTGATTTATGTTGAGTTTAGGTTGAGTTTAGGTTGAGTTGGGTTGAGTTTAGGCCAAGTTGGGTCGCGTTGAGCTCCACGAGTGAACCACGGAGACCTTTCTCACTCTCCCCTCTCCCGACTTTTTCCAGCCGGTGCCTACGTCGCTCTGACCCTCCTGGGATCCCCCCCTCCCTCCGTGGGGGTGCCCAGCTCCCAGCAGGATGCGGGAACAGCGGGATCCCCCCACGTCCCCCCCGCGTGTCCCCCCCCGCCGCCGCCGCTGCCGCAGCGAATCACCGACCCCAGACCCCTCCAGGTCACACCAGACCCCCCCAGCCCACCCTGCCCCGTCCCCCCCGGCCTGGGAGACGAGAGGGAGGCAAAGCTGAGGAATTCCCTGTGGAATTGCAGGACCCAGAGGTGCAGAAACACGCCACGCAGATCCTGCGGAACATGCTGCGGCAGGAGGAGGCGGAGCTGCAGGTATGGGGACTCTTTTCCCCCTTCTTCCCTCTTTTTTTTCTCCTTGGAGCAGCCCTTGGCGATGTCCTGGTGCTGCTGGGGCAGCACAAAGAGGCTTCAGCCCGTCGTGGAATCATGGAATGGTTTGGGTTGAAGGATCATCCGTGGGCAGGGACGCCTCCTGCCAGCCCAGGTCGCTCCATCCCGATCCAACCCTTCCAGGGATGGAGCACCCACAGCTGTCTGGGCACCCTCCAACCCTTCCTGGTGGGCTGTGGGGTGGGATTTATGGGTTTGGGGTGGGTGTGAAGGTCCCCTCTCCTTCCCCTCAGCGCTTCCAGGAGCTGTACAGCCGGAACCCCGGAGCGGCCGTGGAGGAGCAGATCGAAGGCGCGCGCCGGAGGGTCAGCCAGCTCCAGCTCAAAATCCTCCAGGAGACCGGGAATTCCCTGGTGGGTGGATTCAGGGGAGTCACCCCCATCCTTCTGGCTCCCTCTGAGCCTGGGAACACCTTCCCAAGGTGTCAGGAACACCTTCCCGAGGTGTTGGGATCGCCCTTCCCGGGGCGATGGGAACGGCGGCAGAGACATCCCTGCCTTTCCCAAACCTCCTGTGGTGGGAACTGCTCCGAGTTCCCTCATCCCTGTCCTTGAATCCTGAGTCCTGGGCACCATCCCAGTGATCCCACCCCTCTCCCACTGCAGGATTCCAGGCTGAGCAGTGACTCCAGCATGGCCGGGTTCAGGTCGGTGGAAGGTGAGTGGTGCCGGTGGCTCGGAGCATCCCGGTGTTCCCGGAGCATCCCGGTGTTCCCAGCTCCTGGACACGTGGATCAGCCTCTCCTCTGCTCCCAGGACGCCTCTCCCTGGACTCCCAGGATGGAGACAGCGGGTTGGAATCCGGCACAGAGCGATTCCCCTCTGTGAGTGAGGTGAGGGAGGGGTTTCCCGACTTTCCCTGCACCCCGGGAGCGGGGCTGGATCACTCCGGGAATCCTCAGGACCTCTTTTGTAATCCCAGTGAACTGTTTGTCACCTGAACCGATGGAATTCCTTGCAATTCCTCAACCCAGAATTCCTTGGGCTGGTCACATTTACCCCTAAAACGAGGGATCCCCCGAAATTCCCACCTCATGCTCCCAATCCAGAAGTTCTCCCAGCAGCCCCTGAGGGGTTTTGTGTTTTCCCCCATTCCCGGGGTTTTATGTTTTTGTGGAATCTGAGCTGAGAGCTGCTCTCAGGTGCCTCAGCCTCACATTCCCGGTGTCTCCCATCCCGAGCAGGTCTCCCTGAACCGGAATTCCACCCTCTCCGACCACGGCCTGGAAAGCCCCCGGACCTCCCCCATCATCTCCTCCCGGCTTTTCCAGCACCATCGGCGCCAGGGCTCCGACAGCCCCTTCCCATCCATGGCAGAGCAGGTGGGTGGGAGCTCATCCAGGGGGGCCGGAGCCTCGGGAATACACAGGATTCCCCCCCGGATCCGGGCTCCTGGCTCCTAATTCCCACCCCTTTCCCGGGCAGGAGCGGCCGGGAAGGCCCCTGATCATCGGCCCGGAGGAGGATTGTGATCCAGGGTATTTCAACAACGAGGTATTCCCGGGATTTTTTGTCCCCTCATCCCTTTATGGACCCCCCCCCCAGGCCTGGTGGGATTTCAAATCCCCCTCCCAGGAGACACCCCGGGTTGGTCCCAAGGAGGTGGGATTTGGGAGCTGGGCTGTGGATCCAGAGGAGTGAATTCCTTCCCTTCTCTTCCCAGTGCGACTCCCTCTTCCAGGACCTGGGAAAGCTGAAATCCCGGCCGGCACACCTGGGGGTCTTCCTGCGCTACATCTTCTCCCAGGCTGATCCCAGCCCCCTGGTAAGGGGGAATCCCAGGAATACCTGAGCCCAAGGGGAATCCCGGGAATACCTGAGCCCGAGGCACCTTCCCCCGTATTCCCGAGGCACATTCCTGCACATTCCTGGCATCCCCAATCCGGTGCTTCCCACAGCTTCCTGCCTCAGCCAGGGGGTTTCCCACAGCACGGGGAGGGTGACACTCTCAGGGGGTGACAATTCCATGAGGTGACACTTCCTTGGGGTGACACTTCCTTAGGGTGACACTTCCGTAGGTGGTGACACTTCCTCCCAACCCTCGGGATCTCTTCCCGTTCTGTGGCTCAGGGCTGAGCCTTTTCCCTCCCTCCCTCCCCCCTTCCCAACATTCCTCCTTCCCTTTTCCCTGCAGCTCTTCTACCTGTGCACGGAGGTTTTCCAGCAGAGCACAGCCAAGGATTCCCGAGCTTTGGGGAAGGAGATCTGGAATATCTTCCTGGACAGGAGCGCAGTAAGAGCAGGATCCAGGGCACCCCCACCCTTGGGATCACCAGCTCCTCTTCCCTGCATGGGGCTGTTCCTTAAGATGCCAAACCAGGAAGGGGATTTGGGATTTGGGCTCCTGGAGCTCTTGCTATGGCACAGGATTCCTCGTCCTTGCAGGGAAGAGCTGGAATTCCAGCGTCCCCCTCGTGTCCTGGGATGATTTTGGGAGTGTT